GAAAACGTAGAGAATTTAAATCTCTATCATATAAAAATTAAAAATATTTTACTAATTTGTAGCACCGGGAGGAAAGGGATGTATTTTATAGCGGGAAAACTACAAGCCTTAGCGCAAATCTAATTAGAGCGTTAGACAGAGCTCAAGTTATAGTCTTGAATAACATTTAAAATTTTTCAATTATCACTACAAATAAATGAACTAGATGAGTTCAAAGTTTCAATTTTCCAATGAATGAATTTGAAATTTGTAACATAAATAAACGTCATTTATGAATACAACGAATATTGTTTTTATTTACATTTGTTTGGAACCAAATTTGAAGCAATTTTCGGTAAGATATTGAATTCACATTAAATTTATATTAAATTACAGAAATGGAAGCAAACGATCATACAATAAGAATTTGTCTTTATTATGAGTGGAGACTCGGACACAATGCACCACAGCTACGGCAAACATAAACACTGTATGGGGAGCTGATACTGTGACTCAACGCACAGCCTATCGATGGTTCCAGAAGTTCACTGAAGGAGATTACGACCTCTCAGACAAACCCAGAAGTGGCCGCCCGTCCCATATTAGTGCGGACGAAGTGCGTGTTGCGATCGAAGCGGACCCCAGACAATCATCACGTGATTTGGCGATTCAGTTCAATTGCAGTCATACGGCAATCCTTAAGATATTGCATAACATTGGAAAGGTATGCAAACTGGGAGTATGGGTGCCACACCTTCTTAGTGATGAACAACGGCTCAGACGTGTAACGGTTACGGGAAACTCAAAGTTAACGATTACTTGAGTTTAGAGGACGTGTTGACACAACTGAAGCCAATCGTCACCGAAAAGCCACAACACATGGAGTTATTAAATATAACACAGAATTCCGGACAAAGTTATGGTTTTATTCTCTATAGACTCACAAATCTCAACAAAAGAGATGTCCCACCTTATCATTGTGAAAGCGATTCATGATATCGATTGTGCATTTCATAGCCCTCACTGACCCCCACCAAACCCCTAAATATTTTGAAAATTGATGTGTACAATTTTGCATAATGCTACTTTAAAAATGCAAAAATTACAAAAATTAACATTATGTCTATGTAAACGGATAAATTAATTTAACCCCCGCACACACCTAAAATTCTGTAAATTGGTACATATATTCATATTCACTGGCGCTATCAGTGGTATAAATGAATTTGGTGTTCTGCAACTAAAAACATATTTTATGTCATAATTAATTTTAATAGAATATGTTTATATATAATCATGGAATTAACTATTTTTATCCGTTACAGATTTAATACTCCAAAACGGATAATCAAATTATAATCCTTTGACAAACAATACATTGGATTTACAATTAATTTGACCAATCAATTCGCCTATGGGTTGTTAAATGTATGAATTGTAGTACTCTAGTATAAACATCTAATTAAAAAGTAGGAATCTTGACAAATCCTAATCTAATATATATTTAACTTAATTAGTCTAAAGAATCCAGAATTGATTGGAGAGTATTCAACAATACTAACACCGATTTCAATGACAACCAGGCACAAATTGTACAAACCAGTGTCAACATTGACAACGATTTTAATCCGATCGCAAGTTTCCGGATATTTAAACCCTCGACCATTTGTTTTATGAGTCAAACAGTTGTCAGACATTTCTTTCGACGCAAATTTCATTGTTTGCTATTTAATGATATGTACAGCACATCCATATATGCAGACAATCAATGGATTCAGGATTATAAGCCACATATGGGGACTTATCATACTAAGTATCCAAAATATAATTTCGCGGACAGCCCTTATGAAATGGACAGTCTGTACGATGTGTTGACTATGTTTGGAAAGTTTCATTGGGCGGACAGTTATGTGATTCTGTACAGAGAGAGACCTGACATCACGTATTGCTGGACAAACCACGATGAGTTTTGGACTGATGTTAGTTTCACTTGTGTTTTAAGAAATGTTTTATCATTTAATAACAATTTCTGTATCCATTTAGTGCTACAAATCAAGGCGTTTACTAATCAGTTGTCCAGTGGTTCCCGACACTGGACTCAAAGCCTTTCACTGGATTTTATTAGGTTTACTAATTTTGGTGCTCATTGTGGTCGTAGTGATCATCGCATACATGAGTGTTATGTTCACACGTATGCCAACCACAGCAAAGTCCAAAATCTCATCGAAAAAGTCTCGATTTGATGCCAATTCTGTGTCAGAAAATAGTTCAGTGGTGACCCATGGATTTAGTCAAAGATTTTAAATTAAACCAAACTTCAGACAAACTTTTCATAAAGTTTTACTCTAAATGGTTTTCAATTTTGCAAATATATTAGTTCTAACCAATTATTTTAGATGCAATTACTATTAATTATATTTCATTTTATAAAAATTACAGCATCAATTTATCAAAATGTATATTATATAATTTTTCATACATACATAATTTGTAATAAACATACATTTATACGATATTCAAGTAAAAACTAATTTTTAAATAGTTACGATTTGTAGCAAATGGGCATATTTTTATTATACCTTAGAAATGTTCCCAAAATTTATGTAACTTATCGGGTATTAAGTAAACTTATAAATCAGTACAAGAGTTACAAAAATGAAAAAACAGGTCATAAAATACACAAATCTGATTTAATATTACAGGTGTTTAAACAGTTGTTTCAATTCACACATCGATAAACAATACACAAATACTGTAGTTATACGGACTTTGACTGCTATTCCCATCAAGGCCTTTAGGTGATAAAGTACTGTATTTTTTTGATGATCAGTGCAAACACTGCTCACTATTGTTTTTACCAAAGTCTTGGATATCAGTGTTTTATCGCAAATATTTAATGATTAGTATTAGGATTATAGCGGAAAAGTTTACACAAAAATGTAATGTCTGAGAGTCAAGACATACGGTTATCTGAACTAAATCCTTAACCATTCAGTATATAAGCAATGAATGTAAAAACAAATTATATAATTATAGATTTTTGTTGTATTTTATTTTCTATTGAGAAAATTATAATACTATTCATTAAGACAATGAAGTTATCATTAGTCTTATGTGTAGTATTAGTGGCGTTCAGTGTCTGTAGTAATGGTGCCGAACAGACGAACTACGAGTACTACACGTCCGGTGGTATCAAATCGGGTCTGAGGGCCGACTCCGTAGACTTCACTCTCAACGGAAAGAAAATCACTTTATTTAGCGGTTCTTTGCATTACTTCCGATTACCGAAAGGCTATTGGAAGGACAGGCTGTTAAAGTTCAGGGCCGCCGGACTTAACACCGTATGTATATAATTATTTCATTTTTAGAAAATGATTTCAATAACTTTAGCTAATTAACAGGTACAAACCTACTCCCCCTGGAACCTTCACGAGCCAATCCCGGGTCAGTTTGACTTCGAGACCGGTTTCTTGAATTTTGTTGATTTCTTGAAGGCCTGCAAAGAGGCGGATATGTTTGTGGTGTACCGTCCGGGCCCTTACATATGCGCTGAATGGGAATTGGGTGGATACCCGGCTTGGTTTCTAAGGGACCCTAACATCAGATTTAGGTCCAA